CATTTCCAGAGAGCCCAGTCTCCTGCCAATGTTCTAGCCTGATCTAAATTAAGGCTGAGATGTACAAAGTTGGAAGCCCTGACATCCCTCCAGCATGTATGAGGCTGTCTGCGAGGTCTTCTCCAACCAGCTTTTGCTGAAGCAAATACAAAGCAGGCAGGCTGGTATGGAGTCTGGCACACAGTGCAGATAGCCATGCCAAATGAACCAGCGTTGAGTCAGTTGGGAAGACACTGGAGGCTGGTTGGTTCAATGCCTAACATTTTTGGTTGTAATGTGACAAAACCATCATGTGCCTTTAATGTGTTGTTGCTGTTTCATATTTCATCATTGCTATTTCACCTACCCAGCCTCTCTACAAATTTACAGACGTTTGCTAGAGATGTTAGTTAATTCTTTTTAGACCAAATAGAATTTGAGGATTATGACATGCTGGCTGTTCATCAGCAGGTAGGCAGACATCATCTGATGACAAAGTGGGTGAATCCTTTAGGGACTAGCTTACTGTCAAGAGTTCTGAGAGGTATTGTTTCAGGAGGAAAGGAAATACGGTTGTCAGGAAGTAAGCTGGAAGTCATTGGAGGAATATTTTCTCTCTACTGGAAATTTGTATCCGACATTGTCGATTTCAGGCCTCTTCCATCCTACAGACTTGCAAACCAAGACAAGCCACAGCAGCAGCAAAGACTGCAGGCAGATGTTTACTCAGAACAAGTGTCCTAGTGTTCAACACCCAAATGCAGAATGCTCAAGACATGTATACTAATGATAAAAGCTAAAAGTTTGAAACTTTGAGCTAAGGGAAGACTTATGCATGGAGAACGAACAATATGGATCTTGTAACATACTTACACTTAGAGAATTTGGTACAGAAAAAAAAAATCTCAAATTATACAAACAAGTGAGAAAAAAAAATCACCCACTTTCCAAAACCAACTGTTTTCTAAAAAAAAAATTTCACTCCCAGGATTTTTCTCTCTTTTTTTTTTAAAAGACATTTTAGTGTTTGTGTGGTGTATGTGGTGGCTTGTTTTTGGTTGTTTTTTGGGGGGGTGGGTGGGAAATAAAGGAATTTAACAGTACCATACTTCTGCAGCAGCTATAACAATGTGACAGTAGAGCCAATATAATTTACACTAAGAACTAGAAAACACTAGTAAATACAAAATTTTGTGGGTTAGGCTTCAATCCAAAAAAACAGTTATGGAAGTGTATAGTCCCATTGAACTTAACAGAACTACTTCTATGTAGTTACATGCATGCTTTAACTGTTGGCAGGATTGGGAAACCGACGAGTAAGGATCTGATCAAATGCCCACTGATATCAGTGGAAAGATTCCCATTGACTTAAATGGGCTTTAGACCAGCCTTGAAGATAAACAATAGCAAAGCAAGGAAAATTCCTTGCAATTTACTTTGTTCATATAGTATGATAATTGTAGATTGGTTTTTAATTTATAGAACTTCAAAATGTACTATGGTATATTTATTACACATCAAAAAATACGAAGGTTACAAAATAAAGCACTCAAAAGTTAGAAAATGCAAGAATTAAGGTTGTCTATACAACCTTTATTCAGCCCCTTTGTGCATATGCATTATTATACAGTCTTTAATTACATCATCACATACTATTTTTTCCACAGGACTCCTTCATTCAGAATAAATACTGCTTAATACACTTAACGAGCAGCTATTCATTATTTTGTTCCTCCTCATTGTTGAATCTAACACTCTAGGCCTTATTTACTGCACACTACTCAAACCATGCTCTGAAGAAAGAATGAATACTTTCCTCGTGGACTTTTCTCTATGACGCTCATCATTATATTATGTGAGTGTTTCACAAACATTTTTTTTTTTTAATTTTAGTTAATGGAGATATCCTATCTGCTAGAACTGGAAGGGCCTTGAAAGGTCATCGAGTCCAGCCCCCTGCCTTCACTAGCAGGACCAAGTACTGATTTTGCCCTGATCCCTAAGTGGCCCCCTCAAGGATTGAACTCACAACCCTGGGTTTAGCAGGCCAATACTCAAAACACTGAGCTATCCCTCCCCTACAGTGGAGGTTAATAATCCCTATTTTAGGGACAGAGAACTGAGGCACAGAGACATTAAGGTCAAAAGTATCCACTGATTTTGGGTGCCCAATTTGAGACATCTACGACATGGTTTTTCAGAGTACTTAATATTATACTATATAGTACCCATTGATTTCAGTTGCAGCCGAGAGTCCTCAGCATTTCTGCAAGTCAAACTGCAGGTTCTTAAGACAGACACCCATGAAATGAGGAATTACTGACCACTTGTGAAAAAGTTAGATTTTTAAGCAACTTCCCTATCTTCACACAGGCACAGAGATAGGCTCCATTTCCCCAGGACAGTATTCAACTGCCTTAACCAGACTCTCCTATCTCTTCCTGCAATCCCCTGCCTCATTCACTATTCAACCTTCCAACTTCTGCAAAAAATGAGGCAGGGTCCTATAGACTACAGTCTCCTTCACTACACAACCCTGGTCAATCCTCAGAGCAGGTCTAGCCTGGGCACTGAAGGAAGTACAAGACCTGTGGGAAAGAACAGTATGTGGCATGTAATTAAAGACTATCATAATGCAGATGCACAATGGGGCCAAATTACAGATGCCAGAATTAAGGTTGCCTATGCATTTCCTATCTTTCAAGTGCTTGACTTTGCAAGACTAATAATGTTCTTTTACCATAGTTTGTGCACGTAATTTCCTAGGGTTTTAAAAAAAAAAAACTGAAAAAAAATAGAAAATCCATTATGTGTTGTCATATTGACATCCACATGGGTCATTAGCAAGGTTGGAAGGTTTAGATCTACACAGACCTCTGCTGCTTTAGCAGAATAACTGGTAATAATAGTAGACTGTCATCCTCTACATGGACCAACATTAGAGGCAGATGAAATAATTTACTGTCAGTAAATATCTGTGAAACTCTTGGTAGAGGAATGGCGAGACTCAGGAACCATGGGCTCCATGCCAGGCTCTGGAGGGCAGTGGGCACTAGAGGACCCAGACTCTTCTGCCCATTCCCAGAAGATTGATCCCTTCTGCTCCATTCCCTCCAACCTGTCCCTGCCTCAGTTCTGTCTGTCTCTCTCTCTCAACTGACTCCTCATCCAAGTCCTATTCTCCTCACCTAGCTAGTCCTAGTCTCCACTCAGGCATTTCATCCTACTCCCAATTTCCTTACCTAGCCATTCCCAGTTTCCCCTCACCTCCTTGTCTGATCTGTCTTCCCTCTGGCCTCCAATTGTAGCCCCATCCCCACTGGCCCCCAGTTTCCATCTCCTTCTCAGAGCTCCCCATCTAATCTTGGTGTCCCATGTCACCCCCAGCTCTTTGCCCAGCCAGTCCCAGTTGTCCCTTTCCGTTCCTCATCCAGTCTCAGTCTCCCCTCCAACTGGCTCTCAGTCTGCTCCTCACCCACCCACCTCCCTGTTTCCCACCATCTCCCAATACAAATCTCCTTATCAAGCCAGCCTGAGATGGACCCTGCCACCAGGCTCCCTGTCCCAGTCTACTCCCTGCATCCAGCCCTCCAGGTCAGGTTCTTTTCCTTTTGCATTCAAATAATGCAGCTTCCTCCTTCATGCTACTTGCACTCAGCGGGAGGGCATAGATAGCTGAGAAATAGGCTGGCTGCTCTCAGTTCTGGTGCCTGGACCTGGCACAGCCCCAAGCAGCTGGAAACTGAAATTGCAAAGAAAGTCTTCTTAGCCCTGGCAGCCTTGGGCTGGAACATGCCCATTATGGATGGAATCTTCAGAAAACTGTGAAGCTCTACCAAGTCTCTGCTGAGTATGTGTGAACTCTGGTTTCTGAAAGGCCTATTGGCCAACTTTTTCACATGTATGGCAAAAGGCACATCCCAGACACAAAGGCCACCCCCCCCTTTCAAATTTCAAGTCTCTAGTGCAAAGCTTGGGGTGCATTTCAAGCCTCTCAAAGAAAAAGTCATCAATTTTTAACACGGGCAAAACAACATACTTTTCTCTAATCTCGGTCTCAAATGGCTAAACCACTATGTTCCCCAAAAAATCAGCCGCAGGCAGACATTTAGCATGGAAGTTTTCAATCAAAATGATTGAAGTTCTGCAAAGTTATAAGCAACAGAAAATAGGATCTTAAAATGGGAAGTGCTACCAGCTCTCCTATAACACACTTCACTAAAGTAAATTCTATTACTTTTAAAGCTGAGATGTGGGAAAAGATCTGAAGTTTTTGAGCAGATAAGGTATTATTCTGTAATTTTTTCTACTGCAGGATCTCAAAGCACTTTATAATCATGAATAAAGCCTCAAAACCACCATGGTGAGGTAACACAGATTATTAAGGACTTGTTCAAGGTCACAGTGAATCAATTGCAGAGCTGGAATAATAACTCTGATCTCCTGGTTTAACCACTAGAACATACTGCCTCACTACTTGCATTCTGTATTGCAAGTGAAGTAGTAAACATGAAAAATGATTTTTAAATTCCTATTTCATTCTTATCAGGTCCGAAAAATCTTGTGTGTATATGAGTTAGCAAAAGATAACTAGAAAAATAATGTTCTTCTTAATCTGTAGAAATATCAGCACTTTTGAATGCCATTTTCAATGTTAACATCTAGTCATTTTTCTAAGTTCACTACAGTAAAAAATGTATGCCAACATTTAGATATTAAATATACTCCTTTAAATACAGCTCAGTCCAGACTTTTAAACTAACTGAATTTGGTCATAAAATACTAATAAATAGCAGACATCACTGAGAAAGTTTACCACTAGAAGGTACTTTTTATAATAACTGAAAATTATTAAAACAGTGGTTTGAATTAAGGAGTCTAAAATAAACTAAGTACAAAAATCCACAAATTTCAACTGAATTCTTAGCACATTAAATAGCCTGATAACATTATGCAAACTAAAAGTACATTTAACATATTTGTGCACAGAATTTTTTTCAATCAACATGAACAGAACATACCAGATAAAATAAGTAGTTCAATAATTTCTGCATCTCCCAGATAGGCAGCAGCATGTAAAGGGGTCCTCTTTTCATTATCCTGTGGTGAGAGGGGGGAAAAAAAGGGTGTTTTTTTTTAAATAAAGACATCTGTTTTAGCATTCTGTATGATTCATGAAAAAGTTAAAGAATAAAATTCCATCTCCCAAATACTGTACATTTTATATTTTAGGAAGCAGAGATATTAAACCAAAGAATCACTGAGTTATTACACTTATGTAGTCTGTAACAAACATGCTCTCACTAACAGGGCCGGCTCCAGGGTTTTGGCCGCCCCAAGCAGCCAAAAACAAACAAACAAACAAACAAAAAAAGCCACGATCGCGATCTGCGGCGGCAATTTGGCAGGAGGTCCTTCACTCCCAGGCGGAGTGAGGGACCGTCCGCCGAGGGACCGTCTGCCGAATTGCCGCCGAATACCTGGACGTGCTGCCCCTCTCAGGAGTGGCCGCCCCAAGCACCTGCTTGAGAAACTGGTGCCTGGAGCCGGCCCTGCTCACTAAGCAATTATGATAGCTCTGTACAGTCATTCAGGGCATGATCCTGAAAGATGCCAATTCCCAGGTACTTGGCACACCTCAGGATCAGGCCATAAATTAAAGCAAAATCCATTTGTTTCTTTGGAGGGGGAAAAGTTTGGAGGAATGTAAGAGAGAGGATTTGCTAAGCAGCTCAGAGAATGTTAATACCATGTGTATCAACAGGTGTGATCTATGTTTTATTTGACAAGTTAAAGGGTAACTCATGAAACCAGGCTGTAATATTTTCATGATGGTCACAAATTTAATGGAAAATGCAAAACTTGGATGTTGGACAGGAAAAAATAAGATCAGCAGAAAACATGAAATTCAAATTTTCACCAGCTTTTTGCTTACTGCATATATGCACAGAAAAGCCCGAGATGTGGATGTAATTGACAAATTGATCTCACAGACATAGAAAAGATGAAAAGTGCAGGAGACAAATGGGTGTGAGTTACTTCTGGGTGGTCTCAGGCTAATATCCTTTTGAAGACAGTGTTTAGAATTCACATGTGAGAAATTAAAGAGGACAGCTGAGTTGGATTGAACAGAAGAAGATAACACTGACTTTCAGAAGGCTAGCACAGAATATTTCCCAAATCTGGCAAATACTGGAATTAGTTTATGCGTACGAGTTCACAGTGAAAATGGTGAAAGATCATTTTCTCATTATGTTGACTGTTAAAGGCTAACTGCAGGAAATTAAAACCTAACAAATTGCTTCTGTACAGCATGCTGTACCAGAATTAGCTTTAAAAAAAAAAAACACCACGCTTTCAGTACAGCATTTAGGTTCATCTTCTTGAAATGTGTTGAGCTTTGGAACAAGTTACACACAAATTACTTTTGGATTCTTGGAATTTTTCAGTGAAGCTCTAAACATGCTTTAAAAGCAAGCGGAAATTCTTTGTTTTTCCCTTTAGGGGAATGTACCAAAACATTTCTAGCAGATTGCAGAAGAACATTGTTTGCTTATAGTGGCCACTAAAATGTGTTTATTAAATTTAATGTTGCCATACTATCTATCACTTTACCATTTTAAAAAACCACTTTTTTCACTCACGCAACGAAAGGTAGCTTTACTCATGGATTTCAGATTAATGAACACTGGCATACAGACCTGCATTTTCAATTTTTTTTTTTTTAAACCAACATCATTTTTTTTTTGCTTGTTTTCAAATACATTCTGTTTTCAGATTTAAGTAAATCCCCAAAGCAATTTCTCATCTCGTTCTCCAACCCCCAAGGTACTTTCAGAGCTGCAGTGCATGGAGGAGGGCGGCACATTTTAGTGTTTATTACTCAAAGATAAAAGTCAGCATCTCAAAATTCCCTAAGGTAGTTGAAGTTACTTGGCAGTTAGCTTCAAATGCACTCAAATGTGGGATTATGGCAGTTCAGTAGCAATGATATAGTTACATGGCTGAGAAGACACCTATTCTAAAAGTGCCTTATTTTTTTTCTTCTTAAGGAAAATTAAAAATAAACTACTCTCTCATGCTTGATCTCCACCCAAAAGAGAAAAATGAATTTAGAAAGTTCCGGAATTTCTCCAGCAATTATAGCAATAGAAAAATAAAGGTTTCTACTCTTGTTTTTTTAATCCTCTTGGATAATTGAAAACTGACTGCTACTGTATTTCAAACCTAGCATTGACAACCTTGAATGAGGAATCTATGCTTTGCCTTGTTTAAATATTTATTCTGAAATAAAGGTAACAACATTTCAAAATAGGAACACACAAGTAATGTGACAGAGCTGTCATAATTTGGCTTATTGTTAGAGAGGTGAAACAGAAAAATGGAGAACAACATTCATTACACATCAGGTTTATAAATCTACAAAGAAAGAATTTTAACTTAAATGAGTGGATTAAACTATTTTAAAAACACATGCTATTAGGGAGTGTGATATGCTTGAAATTCAAAAAGCATTGATTTGAATGATCACCTAATCCTATCAAAAAGTAACTAATGTCAAATTCTACCCACTTTAATTCAGGACCAAACAAGGACAAAGATGAGCCACTAGGAAACTGGCTCTTGATAATCTAAACAAACAAACACCAAATACAACAAGACATGTGTTTTCTTAAAGACCCAGCTCTTGGAGTCATGTTACTAAGTAAGAATCTTAGGTTCCATTAAGAAAAGTTTCTAGTCTTCAGAGTTGTGGAGAAAAGGTTGAAAACATGAACGCTAAATAAAAAGAACCCAAATTGTGTGTTTAAATGTGACTTTTAGGGCAAATTCACATTTTTAATCCTAACTCGTGATTTTGAATCTTATCAATAATTATTAAATCCATCCAAACATTTATGTTTTTGCGTTTTAATGGGATTAAGCAATGCCATAAAAATTCATTTCAAACATGAGCTTAGATGAAAAACAGAAAGATTAACTGTTGTTCACTAATGCACAATTACAACTGTGCATAGAAGATTACAGGAACCGCGGCCAATAGGAATTGCAGGGGTGGTGCCTGTGGATGGGACAGTGCTCCGAGCTGTCTGGCCACGCCTCCGTGTACTATGTAGGAGGCGGGGGGGGGGTCATGCCGGCTGCTTCTTGAGAGTTGTGCGGAGCAGGGGAAGCCCCCGACCCCGCTCCCTGGCTGAAACACCAGAGCAGGACAAACCCCCAACCCCGCTCTCCGGCAGGAGCTGAGGGCTGGATTAAATGGTCTGACAGGCCGGATATGGCCCGTGGGCTGTAGTTTGCCCACCCCGATCTAAAGTATTGTTAGTAATATAAATTAAGGAAAACAGGTTTCTAAAAATCCTCAAAATATCCTATGATGTTTAGTTGGCCTGTCCCTTAAATAAATTATTGTGGTAGACTGGATTTACAATGCTCATCCCATTCTTCTATTCAAATATGGTGTGCAGAAGTCTATATTTAGTATGATGCTCAAAAACCTATTTGTGTATATTACCAATGTTTCCTGCATGAGCTAGGACTGATGAAAGGGTGTGGGCCACTAAGCCAAGGAATAAATCTTCAAGTCTTCAAGCTCCATGCCCTCCCTTCTAAGGTTTGCAGAACCTTAAGGAGAGCTCTTCCACAGCTCCCCTTCATCATTGGCTGGTGCAGTGGGAGCTCCCCCTTCTGTTTCAATCTACCTTAAGTAGAAGGTTTTAACCATTTTGCTGACTTGGACAGGATTCACCATCTTGACTCTGGACAACTCCAAAAACTAATTACACATAGTGGCTTAAGAGTTATATGTATTTTAAAGTACAAAGTGCCCTATGAGTTTTACCTATTTGTCCCAATGCATTTTCTGAGAAGTAACATGCAACAATAGCAGCCATTTTTATGACATGTCAAAGTTGACAGCTTCTTAGAGAAGGGACCCTGTCTTCCAACGTGTTAATATAGTGCCTTAACACAATCCCCCAATTCTGATTGCAGCTTCTGAACGTTACTGAAATATAACTACTACCTTCCATTCACCCTCCAAATAATCAAGCATCTACTAAATCTGAACATTTTGAACTGCAACATTTGTTAACGTATGAATCCAACCTTCTTCCCACTAAACCTTTGTTCATAAATTCCTCTTTATCCTATTTTAACTCCAAAAAGAGGAATTACAAAAAAATGGGGAAGCTAGTTAAATGTGAGTGAAATGCCTGCAAGCTGCATGGAAGCTATTTAAAAACACCATAACAGAGGCTCAAACTAAACATATGCCAGTCACATCAATGTAATTAAAGTTATATCGTTTCATACCCAAAATAAAACTTTATTTGGAGGAGTGGAGTATCTGTTACAAGTATTCAGTCAGCTGGTAAACATTTTGTTTTAATGTATATGGTAACTATCTTTATACAATTTTTAAAAAGGTAGAAATTGAACCTTAAGTGGAAAACGTTTGCGCAAAGAATATTTGTGAGTAAATGAACTGTTCAAATTTTAGAAATTTTTCTTCTTTATGTGAAGTAGGCCAAGCATCAGATATTTCCCAATGCCTTTCTATCTAACAGACTCCTTGTCATTAGCATCTGTATAAATAAAACAGTTTCATGCAGAAAAGGGGCAGAGAACTTTTACTATATCCTTTTCAGCTAACATATAGTATCCCAAACTTCAGAAGGAACGGGGGAAAGACGTAGAGAAGCCAGCCTGACCAGGACAGGAGATAGGCATCAGAGCTAGCGCCCCTCCCCAGACCCCCCCAGAAGCAGAACCAGGGGCATCGTCAGTTCTGCCGAGCCACGAATAGGTCCATCTAGGGAGTACCCCACCTTCAGAAGAGCCGGTAGGCCACTTCTGGAGGGACCACTCGTGTTGCGAAGAAAAGTCCCTGCTCAAGCAATCCACCCTCCCATTCCAGGCACCCAGTAGGTGGAAGGCCTTCAGGTGGATGTCATGGGCTATACAGAAGTCCCATAGCCTGAGGGCTTCGCGGCAGAGGGCAGAGGATCGGGCCCCGCCTTGCCTGTTGATATAGAACATCAAGGCCGTGTTGTCTGTGAGGACCCTGACTACCTTGCCCTCTAGGTGCGAGCAGAAGG